CCAGCCGCCCAGTACCACCACTGTCCGTGCCACTTGCACCAGGACTGTTGCGACCCGGCCGATTTCTTGGTCTCAGAGCTCTTTGAACTCTGCTTTTGCTTGCTTGGCTCTGGCCGGCCTAAATCGCGGGCCAGCTCATCCAAGCACGGGAGCATTCTGATGTCGAAGTTGCAAAGGCTTCCAGAAGGTGCGTCCAGGCAAGACATCAGATGCTCCCGGCTAAAGGTGATGCCTCCATTTTGGTAGATCTTGGTCTCAAGACTAGCCTCACTTTCTGGCAACGGTTCTCTCCCAGTGATCGGAATCTGAACGGGTCTTGCCGGTGCGGGCTGTGCATGTGTAGCTGCGGTCTGCTTGCGGGCCACCAGCTGCTTCAATTCCGCCAGCTCCTGTTGGAGCTTGGAAATCTTCTCCTCTTGAAATTCGGACTCCCGCTGAAGGGTCTGCAGCTGAGCTCTTTGCTCAGTCTGACCCTGCAGCAGCGACACGCAGACCTCCTTCAGGTCGTCGAAGGCTTTGCGCATGGCGTCGGAGGTACTTCCCCCGTCCATCGCAGCAATCTCCACTATCCCTCAGCTGATGCCTGCCTGCTGCGCCTACTGTCTCGCTCGGGCAGAAAGGCAGGCTCATGAAAGGAAGGAATCTGATCAGCCGCAAGCCAAGTCGAGCTTTGAATTGCGATGGAAGGAGAAAGAGAGAGATGGAGCGTCCTTGGCCGGTGCCTCCCCGTCCCAGCCATGCACACGTGCCGCGCCCTAAATCTCCAACCCCTACCCCCCCTTAACCGGCGAAGCCCCGAAAGTCCTAAAGTCGAAGTGCGCGAAAAGCCCATACAGCTCTCAGAGTACCGAAATCCCTCAACCCCCTTCGCCTTGGCTTCCCAAAGAAAGCAGCGGTGAAGCTCTGGACCTGGGACATGACATAAACCCATTTAAGGGCATCGTGAACATCTGTGAAATTATAGGCTTTGGGTCTTTCAATGCTCCAGGATCTGAGATTTTGCAATAAAGAGCTTCGGCTTGGATGAAGGCTTGAGTTCGGCAGTGCTAAGGGGTGGCCATATGGAAGGGTCAGCAGGAAGCCACCGGCGCGCCTCCACGCTCTATACATTAGATGCTTTCCATAATTCGTTGACCTTAGCCTGTGCGATGAGCAAGGCTGACCTAAAGCCCTTTAACTTCCTGATCTCTCTCTCCCCTTGCTGCGAGACCGGGCGTCCGTCTTGGGCTGGCAGGGTGCAAGAAAAGGCCCGGGACGTTGGTTGCCTTCCCCGACATTTGTTCTGAAGGACGGCGACTATGAAGGAAGCCAAAGTTAATGTTCACGATTCTCAACAAGCGAAGCTTGGGACCGCCGGGAAAGTACTGCACTACTGCAACTCCATCTATCTCTCCCTCGCACGCTGGGGAACTCACGCGGCTGCGAGGCTGCTGAGGCGAGTCCAATCCCACCACCCTGCAGTCGGAGAGCTTGCACGCTCTGGTAGCATGAGTTCTTTGGGGCTGTAGGGATGGGTAGAGCCTTCACGGAAGGGCTCGGTTCCTAGACGCTGAACCTGACGAGGTAGCAGTTCGCTAAAACAGTTTTGCTGACAGGACTTGCTTTGAAATATGCTTTCTCCGTGAAGAAGATTGGAGCGATCTTCACCGACAAATTACAAAGACAAGATGCAGCTGTGATGGAAGCGTCTGAGAAAAAGGCTGGGGCTTCCCAGGGACCCGCGCGCTTGGCAAGTCCTGCTCTTCAATGCAGACAAGTCACGGAGGACGCCATGGGCACAGACCTCGTTCATTGTGGTCGCAAACTTCAGTGAGTGTCCGCGAGAGAATGTCTCAGGCAGGCGGTTCGCAGTCATCCGAGCACGCTAGTCGGTTCTATGGTACTATATAAAAGATATATTATCGATGTATAATAGATGTACATATATGTGTATATATATATATATATACATAATATTATATATATATATAGTATATACACACACACTACATACAAGGCGTTTAAACTTGGCTGTGGTCTGGATCCGGCTCTCGGCGCCCGGCTGAGGCTGCCATTCCGGTCGCGCACCACCTCGCCAACACCTGCTGGCTTGTGGAAGGTTGTATAATGTTTGGGCTGATCTATCTATCCATATATATATACACACCGTCAACACTATGTATAGCACTATTCTTTATGATCATGTGTATGTATATATATATATATATGTCTCAAGATACAGTGTGTTTTACTGTGAATTCGGCCAGCTCCACAAAAGGAAGATCTGTCGGTGCAGCTACATATTCCTTTACCGTGGCTTTTCTAGAGGTGCAGCGCGCTATTCGAGGACACACTGGGATTTCGTTATGTTCGGAACGGGGACCGGGGCTGCTTCGAGGTGAGGGTACAAAGATCCTTGAGACTTCCGCTAGTCGGTACGAAGTTTGTCACTGGTGTTCAAGAAGATGCTTCTGTTCTGACTGGCGGCCTTTCCACAAGATGCAAGCAGCTACAGCACAAGAAAACAACTATTCACATGTTGTTGTGCTTCCATTTTCGCAAGTATGTGGTGGTGAGGTTATCATGACTATCTTGGCTTGCTGATTGGGCATATTCAACTTTCACGCTAGACAAGTCGACATGATCTGCATCGCTGTCCGTGAACTTCTCGCCACGCTTTCTGATCTGCGAGTGCTTGAGCTTGCATCCATCATTCATATCTTGTACATCCTATAACACTCACTGGCATCAACGAAGTGAGTGTGGGTAAAATGGCAATGCCGGCTGTCTCGTGAAGACTGAAGACCGGTGAAACGCTGTTGACCGGCTTCGCCGCGGTACACGTGCTTCAATTGATACCAGCTTCCACCCTGCAACGATGCTTTACAATATATATATATATACACGCACACACACACACACATAACTGCAACTGTCATGGACGGAGTCTCAAGATAGCAAACACTGCTCCTACTCCTCTTGCGTATGCTTACGTAGCAACATGACTCTCCTGGCACTTCTACTTCTCCGCGAGTAAGCCCTGGGGCCCGTGCAGGTCACGCGAGAGCCATCCAGGAGGGCACTCTCACAAAACTCGAGGGCTCCTCCGGGGGTGCACTGCGAAATTCAAGCTGTGGATGCTCAGGGATCTCTTGGAGCGGCTTGCTCTTCGAATGACTGACTCAGCAAGGACTTCAAGCGAAAGGCCGCGCGAGTTAGATCCCAGGACAACCATGATGATGATGATGATGATGCATGGCATCGTTCGCATCATCAGTCTGGCTGTCATCACCAGCGGCGTCGTTAGAGTCATCGCCAATGACATGATCATCCTCATCAGCTTGAGCCTCAGTGGCAGCCTTCGTCCCTGCACTTTCCGGCTCCTCGCGATCGTTGTCATCATCATCAGATCATCAGATCATCAGATCATCATCATCATCATCATCATCATCGTAATCATCGTCATCGTCGCTTTCAGCTGCAGCATTATCACCCTTACTATGACCTCACCATCCCCATCGCTGGCTGGCTCAGGAGCGTTCATATCAACTCCACAACTCGCCTTTCGTGCCCAAGTCAACGCAGCTCATCGCGTTGCACGATGCATCCTCGGATTGCTTGCGGCTTTGTTTCGAGTTGGCGAACTCATGCCACATGGCAGGCACAAAATTGAGGGCTCGTGTAGCTGACCGGTCCACTTGGGCCAACTCTCTGTGCAAAACCCCAAATCTATCGCAGCTCGTGCTCTCACCAAAAGGTACGATTGTTGCCACAAAAAGCTTCCTGAACCTCCACGGGTTTGGATCCCTAAAACCCTAAAACCCTAAACCCTAAACCCTAGAACCCTAGAACCCTAAACCCTAAACCCTAAACCCTGGGTCCCGGACCGCGCCATGGATGAGGTGCGCCAGCGCGAAGCCTCTCCAGGCCTCGGGCACCTCCTTGGCGGAGGCTTGACTGATGGGGCGTTGTTATAGTATGATTATTGTATCATTATTGTTATTATTATTATTGTTATTATTATTGTTATTATTATTGTTATTATTATTGTTATTATTATTGTAGTATTACAGTATGAATATAGTATTAACATAGTACTATTCTAGTATTATTCCAGGCCATTGCCAGCTGAAGTCTGCCACAGCGTAGTATGTGAATAACTGGTGAGGTTATAGCGACAAAACATGGCAGACGTTGCAGTGCAAAGATGCTGCACGAGTTCTCATCCCATTCCACATGATAGAAGGGCAAACAAATCTATGCCATGCCATGCAAACAACATGTACCTCAACTCTAGACCCAAACTTTTCTGGCTGACTGTTTGAGGACTGTTGAGGCTTAGGTCCAATATGGCATGCTTGCTCCAAACTCCAAAGTATGATCCCTTCTTTTCCTGAGCTGCTCAAGTAAACCTCCCAAAACCCTGAAGGACATCAAGCCCGAGCATCTTGAACTCTCAATCGGATCGAAAGAGAGAGGGGACTTTAGCTCTCGCTATAGAAGGAGCCCCATACGAGCCCGAACATGCGTGCCTCCTCAAGTTCTTTTCACATTTTTGCATTCGATGGCGTTTGGCCGCTTTGGATTCTGCACTCAAACCGCGCTGGGCTCCCAGGCTGAGAAGGGAGCCTCCCGGCTGAAACGCCTCAGCTCTCAGATCTCTCAGGGTCTGCCCTCTGGGGCTCATAGATCTCTGCGTCGTGGGATGTAGGGTCCAGGAGGCAAAGAAAGGGGTCTGCGTCGGATTCTGACTTAGTTGAGTACGTGGCTTTGTGGTAATTAATGAGGACGCAGTTCAGCCTCAGAAGATGTCAACTCATGTCGTCGTGTGTCGGGTAGGATGTACTGCCCAGAGGACACAGAGCGAACATCTTGAAACCAAAAGGACAACCGTACCTTAACCTACCAGAACCTACTTTTATATTAGGGTTTATAATAAGGTGGGAATCCGAGTCAGTTTGCCTCTGGCCAAGCTCGGCTCCCCTGCCCTTGCGACATCTCGAAGAGAAGGACGTCGTGGCCGTGGACTGTGATCTGTCAGAGCTGATCCAAGCAAAACAGGATCCGCAGATCCCGAAACAGACATGTCGGTCTTGAGCATCCCAGCGTCTCTGCTAGCTCGTCCAACTCGAGTTTCTGTTGCTATTCACGGCTATGACACAGATCTTTTCCTCGCAACTTCTGAACTCCTACGGTACAGTAACACCCCTAAATCTAAACCCTGCACCAAGCAAAAGCCACCTGCAAGGGGCCCTCTGGATGCTCGAGCCTGGATGTTTCAGCTGGTTTAGGCTTGAGGGTACAGGGCAAACAAGGCCGAGGGAGGGGGATGTAAAGAGTTCTCCTTATTGCTGAGAGTTGGCGAGGGTCCAGTTCGGTTCTGATAATGCCTCCACACCAGGTCGAGGTGACGTTTCTTTCCACAATTGAATGCGATGGAAGTCAAGAGTATCCCTTCTTTCACTGAGGACCGGTGACCGACCGTGGGCAGCGAATGCCCGGGTGGTTGTTGGATTCTTGGGGTCTGCAGAGCACGGCATCTACAGCACGGAGGCACCCTACTGCACTTAAAGACTTACAGGGGCGGGTCAAGCGAAACCCTCGAAGTATAGTAAGAAATCCTCAGAAACTGTGCCACTAGTTATTCAGGCTTTTTATGTTAACGTGACGGATATGACAGTAACAACGAAGACCTCCGACATTTTTGCCTCAGGCCATAAAGAACTTGCAATCAGTGAATCAGTAAATCCGAAATGTCTTGTCCAACCCTTAACCCCGAACCCCAAACCCGGAGCCGTCTCTGAGTGCCCCGGCTCAAGGGTAAAGTCCGAGCAGGCAGCGTGGTAAGCGAGCGGCGGCTGATGCACACCGTCCTGGACAGTGCTGCATGGGATAGGGTACCGGTTGTGTATTTCTATTGCCTTAGTGCTGGTCTGTGGCGGTCCAGTAATCATCGCAATCGTCGCTGCAGTGAGTACAGCAACAGAGACACATGAGAGCCAGTGCCAGCACAGTTAACAGTTTCTGGTAACGCATCGCTTGAGAGCGCTATGCTATGTTTCAAATTTGCTCTCCTTCGGTACCACGGCAGACGAGCATGCAGAATTTGAGGTCTAGGGTCTTCGTACGGCTACAAGAACGACGAGCCACGCAGCATGATTGCCCAGCAATTCAGAATTACACTTGCAGGATTACTCCGATCACGCGGACTGTGCCTGGCGCTTGTGAGAAGCGGAGGCCGAATACATAACGCACTGGCGCTCGCTGAAGGGTGTGCCCTTAGTGGAGTTCACGTGGCTCCGGGTTTTTGGGGTCAGGGTTTGTAGTCTGGGGCTTCAGGGTCAGGGCATGTCAGGCTTACCGGGCCGTAGGGTCTGAGGGCTCAAGCAGACGCACACAAGACAGATCCGGATGAGCTTCAGGAGTCTAGAGTTCAATGAAGGTCGCTCATTGGGCTCCTGCGGAGTGACGTCATCATCTCACGGGTTACTGAGACCTCGACCATGATCTGCGCGCTCTTGGCAACGACACGTCCTCCGAACTTGTATCATAAAGCTCCAGCCCGAGTCTTTGACTGCTGCAGGTTAGTTAGGACCGTTTAGGGCCCCACCCTAAGCCCTAAACCCTGGGGCCCTAAGCCCGAAAACAGGAGCGGCTGTGACCTCGCAACAGGGGGTCCTTCGAGGCGTACCAGCATGCCGGAGTTCCTCAAGAGGGCTGATTTGCATGATGTCTGGTTTGTGAGCATCAGATATATAATGCAGCATATACTGTATACAGCGTGTAAATGTAATGCGCAGCATCTATAGGATGTAACATGTAAGACATGATGCGTCGTCTGAAACGTGGCCCCGGCTGGTTGGAGTCAGCAGCGGCAGGTGAAGCTGGAGCCTCGCGTTTCGGGTTTCAGGATGAGCTTCGCTGTATCCTGGAGCCGGCCTTCGGAACTCGGTTGCTAATGGTGTGGGCCTTAACTAGAATAGGGTTTTGGAGGTTCCTTTAAATGGTTCCTGAGGGGAACCGAATCAATATACTCCCGATCTGTCTGAGGGTCTACTATCCGGCGTCAGGGGCTTTGAGTGTTGGTGGTCTCCATTCTACCGCAAAAGACGTCACCGCAGGAAGTCGCTCAGGCAGCGACGAACTTCTGTAGGATTTCCTGGCAAACGCAGAGAACAACAAAATATCGTAAACCTGGCCATCGCAAACTTGCATGGATCTGAACACGTCCGAGCCTCAGCAGATCTAATCGGAAGCCGCATGACCTCAGGACGCAGGCAGCAGGGATCGGTGGTGTGAGCAGCACTTGTGTGTCAGGGCCAGGGATGGTTTAAACCTCGGATCCAGGATTTTGCTTTGCGTCAGAAGCTGTTCGCAAGGCTGAGTTCTGTTGAGAGTTGATACTCGTCGTTCTCCCAGTGCCCTGTGAGAAACTGACGGAGACCCAAGCCTGCCTCCGAGTCTTCCTCTGGCTGGTGGAAGCTGCCACCAGTGTGACGGGTAGCGCGATCTTTTCATGACTTCCGGTAGCAAACTCGCAGGAGGACCAAAAGGATACGAGGACACTGTGATGATACGTAAACGCTGTTGAAACTTGAGTCACGATGAACGTCACAGAGGATGGCTCAATGGTCGCGAGAAGCAGAGCAACACCGGAACAGCTGGAAAAACATAAAAAGATGCAGTAGATGCCAACAACAGGTCAGACTCGACTACGACAATCGCTTCGCATGAGCTGTTTCATTGAAAGTACTGGCATCCGTCACGCAAGCCCTCAAACTGAAATTGGAGAACTTGCAGCCGAGCTACTTGTCGGCCGAGCTCTGGATTAATCGCCAGCCCCTCCATGCAAAGCAGGTCAGTGTTGGTAGTGCTTCCGAGCATTTGATGCTGTTTTTGGAGCAGCAGCATGAGGTGCTGCTACTCCTGCTTATTGTCCCCTGTTCTGGTTGTTGATCACGATGGCTGACGGTGCATCATTTACTTCCAGCTCTTCCTGGAGCAGTAGTGGTCGTAGTCGCAGTCGCAATTGCAATAGCAGTAAGTAGTAGTCGTACACGTAGTCGCAGTTGTAAAAGCAGTAGTAGTCGTCGTCGTTGCAGTAACACGGTAGCAGTAGCAGCAGTGGCATTGTCAGTAGCAGCAGCAGGAGTTGTAGTCGTCGTAGTCAAAGGAGGAGGAGGACGGCAGCAACAGCAGCACTAGCAGTACAATAGAAGGAGGAGCTATGCAGCAGCTGCAGCTTCCCCTTGCTGTTGTGGTTCATGTAACCGTGGCAGTCATGCTCCGTCTTGGGATTGCAGAACTTTGCTGGACCACCCCCAGCAACTAGCAGAGCTTAGTGACTTGCCTGAGCGGACTCTTTGCCATTTTGGAAGAGACACCTGCCGCGGACCGACCATGACTGCTGCGTCAATGCCGCCCCCAGTGATCTTTTGCAAAGAGAATCAAACTTTGCACTTTATTAGATGCAGCGGCCGTCACAAGCACATCGAGAATTCTGCGTTTGCACCAATGTCAAGTAGGCCAGCCCACGCCCAGGCGAGAAGCACCACCAGCACGAGAGCAACTGTAGCCACCAGGAACCAAGTTTCTGGCCTCACGTGGTCGAGGAAACTCAGTGCAGCGGTTTCTGCAGATGGCTACATGGCCACAATAAAACCCTAATCGGCGGATCTAGCAGTTGTATGCACCAGGTTTTGATCACTCTCAGAATGGAGTGATCCACGGAGTGTGGAGTGGCGGTGCAACAACGGCATTGAATAGTGTTCAACATATTCTTAGCTTAGTCCCCTCAGATCATGGCTTCTGAGCAAGGAGTTCTCCAAGCCTCGTCTTCTCTTCACCCATGTCGACGTAGATGGCTGCGAGGCCACTGGGTCCTGCCTGGGGGTTTCACGGGCTGTGCCGGAGCGTAAGGAATCCTGCGGCACAGCGCCCAACCTGAACAGCAAACCCTGAAACCCCAAGTACTACCCTGCGAAAGGTTGGAGCTTTGGAGTTTTCGAGAAGAATGATGAGCAATGAACACACCACAGGAACATGCGAACTCTTGTTGTTGGGCGTCTTGTCCGGTGGCCGTCTTGTCAAGCACAGGTCCAAGAATGCCATTCCAGACACCAACCTCCATCGGCACAGTACGCCCCAGCTACTGATCGAACATAGGCCCTCTGCCGCGGCTTCTTGACCTGCAAACAACCGCCGGCTGCAAAGACATCATAAGCACGCCATCCACAACGGTCGTCCTTGTTCTCTCCATCGTCATCACCATCATCATGATCATCGTCATCATCACAATCCCAATCATCGTCATCACGATCATAACCATCACCATCATCATGGTCAAGCCTTGTCATCAGTGATCAGCCATCATTTTTAGTTGTATGTTTAGCACAATCACTGTCCCATCCGCATCTCATTCAACTTCTCCATACTACTGAGCTGAAACTACATATGCATATATGTATACATCTAGATGTATGTACATATATATATATATATCACTATATACATATTATAAATAAATAAATAAATAAATATATATATATATATATATGCATATAGATATTCAATAATATACACATACCATTATGTATGTATACCCTACTTGGTGGCGGGCCGTGGGCGTCTGCAGCGGCCGCGGCTCAGACAAGGCCTCGGCTCGATGACTTCAGCACACAGCGGGCCGCCGTTCCTGGTTCCCTGTTGGGGCATATATATATATATATGTATATATATATATATATATGTATATAGAGTAGATATATAGTAGATATATAGTAAATATAGTAGATATATAGTAAATATAGTAGATATATAGTATATATATATGGTATATATAGTATATATAGTATGAGAAATGCCCAGATCCCGGGCCCCCTAAGGGTTCCCTTAAGGGGTCCCTTTGAGGGCTCCTTTATGGGGGCCTCATATTTCGGGTTTAGGGTTCATTCCTTTATGGGGGCCTCATATTTAGGGTTTAGGGTTTAGGGTTAGTTCATGACCCAGATCCCTATAAGATCACCACACCCAACGTGACAATTAGAAGAGCATTCTATTTTTGGGGGGTTCCATTACTGTAATAGATCCCTATAAGATCACGCCACAATGCAGGGGCCTTACTAATTAGAATAGGGTATTGGGGCCCATGATACTATAAGTACAATGAGGACCTAAGGAATAATGTAGGCAATTATTTAGGCTTCTATAGTACCTACCCTCACGATACCGATAAGGCAAAACACCCAGACAGCACGGTGTGCTGGCATCTCCGGGTTGGTTCGGAGAGACCAAGCTCCGAGCCTGCTCGTGATCACGCCCTTCTGGCTTCACCTTACGGTGTAGGGCATTTTAGGGTTTAGGGTAGCATAGGGCAGCTTAGCAGAGTCGCTTGGGTGTGCTTTTCTGTTAGCCCGCGCGGCCTGTTCCGCCTACAACGTCGGTTTGAACCACGGCCAGTCGTGACGAAAACGAACACAGCCATGCAAACCATCTGAATACAAGCCTGAGCACCTCAGAAATTTACCGGGATGAATGCCAGTCTACTCCGACCCCTGGTAGACTCACATGCCGAGCAAGATGCCAGCACTTGCAATCGATGCCTGTGGGCATGATGGCTGCGAGTTTCGCAGTAGTCTTGAACGGACAGCCTTCCGTTTCAAAGTCCTTCTCATCGGCTTCATGCTGCAAATCGAAACATCCGGGCCGCGTGCCAATCCAACGACAGGACCACTGATGACCTCTTCGACCTGTCACGGCTGCTGCGAGATGAACAAAATCAGGGGCCTGACTAAACCCTGAAGGCCCTGAATCCTAGGAGGGTCTGCAGTCTGCAGGCAAGCTTTACGTGCACGAACGACGGCAAAGTGCGATGCCACGACGAGCCCAGAACGCTACAATGAGACTTTCGAGCCATACAGAGAGATCACACTCATTGGGACAATGATGCCGCAAATGTATTGCTAGTTTTGCTTCTTCTACTCATGTTCTTACGTCAGCCCAAGCGAAATCGTAGGTCGTAAGGGGTTTGGCAAGGAAACTCGGATGAAATTCGGATTGCCGCTCACTCCGGCTACCTCCTTGTATGTTAGGACACGGCATTGGATTGCATGCAGCCTGCCTGAAACAAGGATGTGGCATCGGAGCTTCGGACAGCGGCTTCCCCACTTCGCCTGACAGGTAACACCCCTACGTCCCATGTGGGTCACGGTGAGAATCCTACATCGTCGCGATGACGCAGCGCTGCTAGTAGTACATGTTCAGAAGCTCAGGATTGGGGAAGAGTCTCGGCATGTCGGACAGATGTTGATGATGCCCTGATCTTCACCAATTAGCCCCGGCCCCTTCATCTGGAAAACTTGTAATAACTTAAGCCAGTTGAAATTCTCGTTAATCCATTCATACGTGTCACTAAATATTAGATGACGAGGCGTTTCGCTACCTTGAGAGAATCATAGTTACTCCCGCCGTTTACCCGCGATTGTTTGAATTTCATGACTTTGACAATCAGAGCGCTGGGGAGTAGGGTTGAAAGTCTACATTGTGCACTGGACCTAGGGAGAGCGCTAATCTAATTGCTCTTGTATAACCCTGTTGCTTCGTATTATTGACTTTATGCATAATCATCATCGATTCTGACCAGAAGCCAGTTTTCAAACAGATACTGCAAACACACAAACTCTTTGAGAGCCATTTACAAATACATGCATGCGTAGATCGCAATATATCTGAGCACGTATGTATGCAGACGATACAAGGAAAACCATGCTCACTTTCCAACTCATGCGTGAACCTGACACATTGCTGTTGTCGCAGCTGACATCCAAAGGCGCATTTTCCGCGGTACGGAAATAAGTCCTCTGGCTGAGACCCATCACTGTACAAAGGGCCTGGCCTACTGCAAGTCAAGTGATGCTACATTTTTCAAGTTCCCAGGTGCAGGGAGGGCTGTTTGGCAGAGTTGCGCGGGACCACGACGGGTGCAAGCTTGGTGATGCCGTCGATTCGCTCTGCTTCCTGGACAAGACTCTCCATCACCGGCTTGAAGGACTCAGTCACCTGGGAGTTTCAGAGAAGCAGGGACCCCCTAAGAGACGGATCCTTCTCCTACGGATCCCGAATCTAAGTTGACTAAGTACCCCTACAAGTCTCAAACTTCAAACTCCAACCTCTACGAGGGGGCAGCAGAGTTTGGCAGCCAGGGTCTTGGCTGCCCGGGTTGGAGCAGCTTGCCGGCTGCAGCGCTCGGCGCCACAACGGCACTTTCCCGGGAGGGAGGCAAGGACGAGGGGGATGTGTTCAAAGCTCCCGAAACGCCGTTGAATCGAATGATCGTACTCTCTGCAGCCGTAGCCAATCCCAATGGATCTCTGACACTTCTCGATGCGAAAGCATTCCTCGGCCCGGGCATCCTGCAGCTGTCCGACTCGGTTGCATACGAAGCCGAAGGAGCAGGAGCAGGCACGTGAGTAGTAGAAGATGTAGCCATCATACTGTGCAAGCATGTCGCTCTGCATCTCTCGCTCGTGTCTGTTTCGCGTTCCAAGCTCCATCTGCAAGGACCTGCTCAGGCGGCCAACATGTTGCCTGTCGTAGAGGCCTTGCCAATCAAACAGGGTCATCCTTGCCAGGAACTTCTTTTCTGGAGACTCCAATGACCAGACGGTCTCGCAGCAAAGCTTTGTGGGCCACCTCGTCTCCCCCTCCCAGCCGGTCCTTGTTCGATCATGGCTACACTCAGTCAATTCCCACGAGCTTGGGGCTTGCGGAAACGTTTACGTAAGTGTACCAAGCAAATTATCCAAGGCGCCTGATCATGTCAGCCACGACCGCGGGCAAGCGGTTGCTAGTGAATGGGGGGCTGTACCACAGTGTGTCCGAGACTTGCCAACCATGGGTCGATCCCACAAAGAGAACCTGGAAATCGCGATGGCCATTTCCAGGAATCCCCGGGGTGGGGTCGCCACGGGGCTTCAGAAGGAAGGAACCTTCCAGGTCTTCCGGGAAATAGTCAGCAATGAAATAGTCAGCGCCTGCGAAAGCGTGCACCTTCTGCCAAACATGCTGGGGCAACTCTGGGAGTTGCCGTTGCTTCGCAGCCCACACAGCTACGAGGACAGGTGGACAGTCCATGGCGTCGCCCTGGCGCTGCAATGCACCTAAGATACTGCCCATGGACAGGCAAGCATCGTTGACGGTGACAGAGCCTCCGTTCCCCGGCAGGACAAAGGACAGGTTGCACCCTCTCACTCCAATCAGATCACGGCAGCGATGAAACCCTTTGTCTTGAAATTAAGCGGATCTGTCGCAATTTCAAGAAGAACACAATCACTTCGAAGCTCATGGGAAATTATATTTGGGGATACGACTGATACCGTGCTGCGGGACATAAGGATGCTGACACCTCAGTCACACACTGCTCATGGAAAGCTCCTTATCGTACGGGCCCCCACGACACCTGAACGTAAGCTTCTAATTACAGCACTATCTCTACAAAGAGGTGGGTCCAATAGTTGATGTTTATGTGGCTCTCTCTGGTCTCTAATCGAAGCACTGCAGGGATGCCTTGGCGCTGCAGCCCTGCGTGTGGGCCGCTGCGGCATAGCGAGGAGTGTGGTGTCATCACCTCAGTCTTCTGATTTTTTGCAATACCTTCGCAGAGTGTGTCGACGGCTGTTTAGTTTTAGGATGTTAAGCGTAGACTGAGGCTATAGAACCGACTTGGCTGCGCCAAGAATCTTCTACCCATCCACTGTACTGTCCTCTCCACAGCTTGGCTCTACTTTCTGCTCACTTTCGACTCCCACTCCATCGTCTGAGCCGTCTTCACGGACAGGATCATGAATTCCTGAATTTCACACCTCCTCAACAAGCCCACACCCTGTCGCCATGGCCTCACACACAGACCGAGGCCCCTGCTGTCCTCCTCTTCATCTTGCTGGTAATGAAGATCCTAGAATGGCCGAGAGTTCACAAGGTTTGTGCGACTTCTTTACTGAATGAAAATCCCCAAAACAACCTCGGGCCACTACAGTCTCAAACGAGGTCGGACAGCGGGCCGTCCGCAGCCAATCTACTCCACAACCACAATGTTGAACAAAAGCCATCTGACACACCTAGAAAGCAGACTTGGGGTCTTGAGGCCCATCATGCGCGCTGACCATACATTTTTAGGGCTCTTGGACCTGAAACCCCTGAGTCCGACCCTATGGCCGCTACAGTATGCGCGCTGGCCATAGACGTTTAGGGCCCTGAGTATCCCTGAGTCCGAGAACCCTGAATGCAAAGGTCGAACTCGGCCACGTGGCTGCAGGCTTGCAGCTGGCGAGCTCCGCCTTGCTCGTGAGAAATTCTGGAAGTTTCGGCTGGAGGGCGAAGCGGGGTACCTTATTTTGGGGGTCCTTATAATAAGGATCCTACTATTTAGGTACTACAATAGGGTCCCCTGATAATGCGTGCACTTGAGGGACAGGCAGTAAAACCCCACGCGCTCCGGCGGTCGAGTTCGTCCCAGCTTACTTCCTCATGCGTTGGCATGGCGGGAGGTGGCAGACACACTTTGCTCCGTCAGTTGCAGTATGGGCCCCTTGCCGTAATTGGCGAAGAGATTCGCTATGTTCAGAACCCAAGCCCTCCACACATATTGGCGGAAACGCCCTTCGAAATACTTATGTTCACTGCCACATATAAAACCCGAAACCCCAGCTTTGGAAAGATGCACCGAGCACCGGACTGCGTCGGTGCAGCTCCCCTCCGCGATGCTCCAAGACAGGAGCCTGTGTTGGAGTATTTTCAGTTTCACAATGTTTGACGAGTATGAGAAACGTGGATCTGAGGACTACAGTGCGATGCTTCCGACGCAAAAGACCGTCAGCCCGACATTCTGAACCAGGGCTAGTCAATGCATCGGCATCAAACAGCCTCAGCCCCCAGCAGGGGGAACAGTTGTGAGATCAGCAAACCGCTTCTCATAGCACCTCGCTTGGTAGTGGCAACGCCTACTAGTGCTTCCTTTTGTCTGAGATTTGCCATCGCTTCCAGCTTGTTCAGACTACCCTGCAGGCTTTCGGGTTCCTTGTGGGTGACGTGTGGACTGTGCTCGGGGCTACGCAGGAAAATCACCGGCAGCTGCTGCTGAACGTGTTTGTCCCAGGTCATCGTCTTCGTTTGCAAACTGCTGCTGAGGCTCTTGGCGTCACGAGAAGGCTGTCTATCTCACCTGACCATATGTCGACGCCTTAGCGCGCAAACTCCATGGCAAAGCAAGCATCTCCACAGTACTAGTCCGCAATGCGGACGAAAGCAGTGATGTCTTGCATAACCTTGCCTGCATCAGCAGATCAAAGCGATCCCCATCACAATCACAATCGTCAATGACCTACTCGTCATCATCCTGGTCGTCAGCGTCATCAGGGTCACCGTGCCGCCTGCACTTCCTGCAGACGGGGTTTCGGATGCTTTCCTGCGCATGCAGCTGAGGGGCACTTCCTAAAGTGTGGTTCGGTAGCGTAAGCGTTAGTGCCGGGGACACAGCCCCACGGCAGCTCGGGCCGAAATTGGACAGGCGGAGGCATGATCAGGTCTGCCAAGCCACAGCCGCGAGAATTCCGGCAACACTCTTTGAACTTGGTGGTAGGGAGTGCCCCGCTAAGGCGGTGCCTCGCTGATGGTGGCCAGAGACAGCTTCTGCTGGAAGCCAAGCTGCAGTCGAACCTGCCCACGGCTCAAAAATGCACTTGGGGGTGAGCTGAACCCTAGGCCCCGAAACAGAACCAACATCGGAGTGGCTCAAGAACAGCTTGAAGCATGCTCTTGCCTTCAAGCTGCCAGCGAAGGTATTGTTCGACTCTTACTTTCGGGTTAACACCTGGCGCACCTAAAATGTGTGTGTGTGTGTGTTATTACCAATAAGTATCATTGCAAATTACTGCCCTCACGGGAAAATGAACCTGCTGACAACACAGCTACCGGATATCTAAGAACGACACAGAGAACGCACCGAGCTGACTTCAATGATGCCTCGTTGCGCGCGTAGGGAACCTGACGGGCAGCGCGGGACAAGTTAGGATTGTTCCATCCATCGCTGCTCCTGCTGCTATTCGACCACCCACCACTGTTACAACTGCTGCTTCAGCTTCGACTGCTAATGCTACAATGACATAATGCTACCACTGATGGTACTGGTGATACCTCTTGTTGATGCTACCTCCTACTACTCCTTATCCTCTTACTGGTGCTCCTGCCGATGCTGCTGCACATCGCCGACGGCGACTTTGACGTGGCAACTCTTTGAGATTCCTCGCGCTGAGTGCCTTTTGCCGTGTTCTGCTCGCTGGTCACCGCTAGTCGCGTCAACTGCTCTTTTGGATGGAGTTGCTGTGCTGTCGTTGTCGTTCTCAGTGCCGTCGTTGTGCTTCTTGCTGTTGTTGCTGTTCGACCTTGGACTTGGTGATCCTTCTTTGTTCTTGTGACTTCTTCGCCGTAGTCTTTACACAAGACGCGGCCGGGGTTCCATGCCCTAGCGTTGGAAGTCTCGCTGTTAGTGGTCTGAGTCTGTCTGACATCGATGCAGCAAGGAGTCCATGTCGCTGGTATTTCGTTGTGCACTCTTGCAATTCCCTGAAACAGCACGTCTGCGAACTGTCGATGTTCTTTCGACCATCCTCGTGTTCAGTCGATCTCCAAACTCATATACAGTCGCTGCTGAGGACGGGGCTGAGACGCTTGGCTGCAGCGAAAGCGCTTGCATCCCAACGGCCGTCAGGTTGTAGGAAGGGATCTCAGCACAAACAAGGGCTGCCCCAGAAGAGGCTCTTGGAGATAGCTTGAGGTTTTGGAACAGTATCCTGTTTGAACATAGTTGGAGACTTACAAGCTGCACATTCGGGAGGAGGTAGTATCATGTCTGAGATCTACCATTCACCCCGAGGTAGAATGCAATGGGGATTCGCCAACCAGTCCTGGTAACGTGCAGCAATAAGGACGGTCCACAAGCCAAGACCAGCCAGTGTATCTCTGCAGATTCCGGCTTGGTAGGCTTTTCAACCCATCAGAGACCTTTCCCTGTGTCGAGAAGCTCGAGGAGAGGGCCTCCATGTTTGCTTCCAACACATCGCGCCGGTCGTCGCGCAAGAGAACACCCCAGCCTCAGCTCCACTAAGCTGTGCATCTGATTCACCTTGGAGGGTATGAGCCTTGAGGGCGCTGATGACGATTGATGATGATGACGACGTGGTGTTGCTGCTGCTGGTGATAGTATGAACATGGTGTTTTGGTGGTAGCGCTGGTGGGGGATAGTGATGATGACGGTGGCGAAGACAACAATGACGACCAACACCATCTCAGTTACTGCTAGCATCATCAGTATTAACTACCACGCCCGTTTGCACTCCTGTCGCTGCTACAACAACAACTTCCTCTGTTTCGTTTCCATGAGTAGGCACGATTCGAGCCTTTTCAGTGCTTTTGCCAATGATTCAGTGAGTGAAGAGAACATTCACATGACTTCTCATTGACAGGCCGGTGATGCCATCTTTCGTCTGGCCCTTTCCGTTTGGCCAATGCTTGAACTCTCGCCGCGTGACGGTTTGAAAGCCACCTCTTTGCACTTTCCGGCAAGCAAGCAGAGGGCCAAGCTGGTGGAGACAACTCCCTCCAGTGTTCTCGCGTTCCTGCACGTGGCATCTTCCAGCTGAGAACTGCATGTTACTCTCGACTTGCCCCCTGGCCCGAACCAGACTACAACATAAATCCCAGAGCTCCTTCCAAAAATCGACAGTTCGTACTCGTTGTTCGGGAGAAGGAAGTGGCCCTGCATGCAGCAAAGCCCTAGCAGTAGCTCCTGCCGTCACGAATGCATGTTTACAATCATTGCATCGCCATAACCATCATCCACTATACTATACCAGCATCAACGTCGGGAAGAAGAGGACCACCAGGGCAGAGCCCGCCATGCTTAGCAACGGCAACATCAAAATGATGGCGACGGCGGCGGAAAAAAAAAAAAAAAAAAACACGAAAGCGAAGGCCCGAGCATCGTCTTCCCGAATCCCGGCCTCAGCGATGCGGAACACGACGATGTCGTGGTCGTCGGTGTACTCCAGTCCCGAGGTCGCATGCAGAGCTTCGCAGGTTCCTCCGAAGTGCGAGGCCATGTGAGGCAAGGTGCATGGCACCGTGTTGCCCAAACGAAACACTGATCTAGACCCCCAATGGAGGTGAGAACAGGTACATATCCGCATAACTATAGCCACTATAGCCTTCCTGATCTGATAGGGAAACGTGAGATTTTGTTCTAGGCGGCTCACTCGTTTCGCGGTTTTTTGCCACATGTAACGCATGGAATCATGCTGCTGATGATGGTGAGCTTAAGACGAATGATGACGATGTTGATAATGATGGTGACGGTGATGATGATGAGCGTGATGATGATGAGCACTTGGTGGATTGCACCGGCGGATGTTTCACTGAAGCGAAGAGACCAAAAACCTCTCTCGTGGTAGACTCGGGGCTTAAGCTCCATGTGGCAGAGTTGTCTTGCCTGGACTTGTGCCCTTAGACTTCATGTTTCCTACACACGGCTGTGCTGTGGAGAGGAGATCTTCCCCGCAGGCACACCAAAGAAATGCGGCATCAAATGCGGTTCATATCATATGATATCATACGATATAACTATATAACATTAATAGAAGTAATCCATTCCCACCCCCCGGCCTGGAGGCATGGACAGCAGGACGAAAGAAGGCGTGCAGGACAACTCGAAAGCCTGTCAATGACAGGAAGTAATTAGCCATTGAGGCTATGGGTTTCGGGCCAATTCATGGCATGGGCCGACTTTCGGCTTTTGGGGCTGGTTGGCTTCAATCTTGGAGCCCGAGGTTTGAAGTGCACATGCAACTATACAGTGCTTTTCAAGATGTGCGTAGTGGCTTTGCAGACCTGAAATATCTCACACACTGCCTTGCCACGCTTCTTGCGAGTTTTGAAGTATCTCAGGTGCCAGCTTACACCGATTTCGCGAGTGCATGCTGCTTGGTCGCGACTTGAGCTGTTAGCCGTCTCCGGTCTTTGTCCGGGAAGCGTAGTTGACAAAGTGTCTGCAGAATGTGAAAAAAATGTATCGGCTCCGACTCCGCAAGCGTCTCCAACGGAAAGCCTGTAGACTGAGATGAAGAGATGTTGAAAGCCTCTCGTCCAGGCATCTGCGCGGATGGCCAACCGCTAGCTGCTGTGCCCAGGGATGGACTGCTCCATCCAGCCCAGACGTCAAAGGTGGTGATCCAGCTTTCATCTTCTGAACATCGGGTGAGGCCAATCCGGGGCTTCATGCCGCCTGCTGTCACTGTCCCTGAGGATCCTTATCTCGGGGTTGACTCGTGATAGCAAGTCAATGCCAGAACATAGTATTTCGCCTATCCGGGATTTGGTTGGCATGCGTCACACACCGATTTGCGACCAATGCTGCATGTGTGCATATATATATATATGCACATACACATCTACATACATATAGGTATGCACATCATGCAAATGCATATATAGTTACGCGTACATAAGTACATATACATACATACATACATACACACATACACACATACGTACAGACGTACAGACGTACAGACATACATACATATGTATATATATATATATATATGTATTTCTGTTCGTACAGTGAGTGTGTATATATATATATATATTATAAAAATGCTGATGCAGGCTTTCAGTTCAACTTCGCTCCCCATTTGCCCGCCGACTACTGTACAGATGCGCTCCATGTGTGTGTATGTATGATATGTATGTATGTATGTATGTATGTATGTATGTATGTATGTAGGTATGTAGGTATGTATGTATGTATGTGTACGTGCGTGTCAAGGGCTGTATATAAGTGCATGCATGTAGACTCGTAGATACTCGTGAGTGTTGGCTTACTTGCTTACCTATGTACTCGAACTAAACTGAGCACTGAACCACAACCGTGAACCTTAAAGTGCCTTAAAGCCTAAATGCCTAAAGCCGAAGCCAAAACGTTTCACCCCGAAACCATCTATAACATGCCGTGGCGAGTTGGGGGCTCCCATGTCTCGCCTGCCCTGCATGGATCTCCACTCGCCCACCTGCTGGCACGTAGCTGGCAGGCCTGGCAAGGGCAATTAGGGGCGGTACATTGGTTACATGTCCGAAGGAGCCAAAGAACGAAGACCGACCTGTCCGGACCCTGCTGAAAGATGGGACCCAAGTTTCATGCTGGCAGAACCCGCAAGAGATGCTTCATCGTACTGCAAACTAATTACGAAGCTCTCCAGAAATCTGCAACCCTCTGAGTACTTCGATTCTGCAGTCTGATTGAAATAGGAAAAATGAGGGGACACTATTCCTGATTATTGCCGAAACCCTGTATGCCTTATTACATTAACCCAAACCACCAGGCGCCTCAGCCACAGGAAGAGCTGAACAGAACCTGTGACATGCACATTGTCACATTTCATGTCTTCTTGGGCCGAAGTTTTAGGCCTTATAAGGCTGCCAACTTCTGACCCTTCTGTGAAGGCAATCCCGCTTTAAAGATTTGAAAAACGTGGCCGTGGCAGCTCAAGCGGACCACCCTGCCTTCCGCCTCCGGACTGCTGGGCTGTATCGTAGCCTTGCCGACCAAACTTGATTTCAGTTCATATGCTCGACCTCGAAACTGTCACTCAGTACCCTCACCACCGGCATGAGTGCATTCCACTCTGGGCTTTCGGCCTTTATGGGGCAATATCACATTTTCATGGTTTACACTGAGAAAGGGGCCTGGAGAGTTTGAGCCAGTTGAAAGCCCATCACTCGTCCACGCTGCCTGCGAAGCAACGCCGTTAGGCTGTTGACAGTGATGCATGCTTCCCTAGCACCGCACCAGCCCCGAAATCCCAACCCTGCAAGCAAACATTAAGAGCCAGCAGTGGGAGGCGCTGCGACTAATTCTGAGGACAAGTGCTTGAGGCAAGGACTATCGCCAACATCTGCCACTCCGACTTCTTCTATCAGCACATACCAGTAGTGTACATGCAAACACACACGGTAAATCAGTGTTGGGCAGGTTCGCTTTATTTCCCGGCAATGTCTCATTGCTCTGTCCGCCTGACATCTGGGAACTCGCCAAGTCTGGCCGCAGCAGCCGTGACATTTGCAAAGGTCTGCAATGTCCACCTGGCCACGGTAACATTCTTTGATGCTACAGTACATCAAGTTGAGTCGTGTAACTATGGGAGGTCGCAGGTGTCTGTTCAGACGGAAGCACAAGAGATGAGCTGCTAAACTTCATCCACAAAAGCTCCAACTTGCAAACCCTGAACCGCCACATACGCCCAAACCTAACCCCAACCCCCCGAACCCTGCGAACCTTAAAACCCTGCGTGGGGCACCAGTTGGAGCTGGGTGTGCGGATCGGGTTCACCGCACGAAGGACGAGTGTATGCTGGCCAGTCTCCAGGGTGGCCTGGATTCGTTCTTTCCCTTTTTGCCTGGAGGGTTGAGGGTTTTGGGTTGGAGGGCTGAGGGCTTTGGCCGTTTTGGGCTTTGAGTCTTCTGATTTTAGGCGGCATTTGCTTTGTTGGTTCGGGCCAAGTGTCCATACAGAACTTAGGGTTTGGAGCTCCTGGGCCTCTCTGTGGGCTTTCAAGGCTTCCGGTTTCACGGCTCCGCATGGCATACATAGATGCATCCGAAGGAGATCATGATGGCTTCCCTGGCTCCTGATGAAGAGCACCAAACGGAACCTCTTCTTCACAAGAAGATCTTCAGATCGGACCCTGTGCACTAGCATATTGAGATTCCCTTACTCTTCCTCTTTTGCATCTTGCGATGTTGCCTGTAGTGACTCTGCGAACATCACCACATCCTCAATCCTCCACAAGACTTCCATGTTCCGAAAACTATGCACGTCGCAGCAAATCAGTCTTGAAGAATTGCAGCATGATAACCAGAATGCACACTTTTCCCCCCGGTAAACAAGTTTCATGCTACATTGGATCCATGATTGCGGCAAAGTTGCAGAAGGCTAGAGACTACTTACTAAGTTAATGTTACTGTTGAGGCCGGAATCGCGCCCGATATTTTTCCGAGGGCTGCTGACTATAATGATACTATAATTAATAATGCACCCCAAAACCCTCTTCTAATGTTGAGGCCCCGAGATAACCCTGCATAGTGAGTGAGTGTCGCACTGGCGTCATAATGCGAAGCGGGTCAAACATGCAAGTACATGCGTGCAACAGGACTATCATACAGTGTAGCCCAGAATAGTCTCGTCTAGTCTAGTGTAGCACAGTATGTAGTATAGTACAGCATATCATAGTATAGTATAGCATAGAATGTAATGTATTGCAATTTAGCATACAAGACCTAATATAGCAAGATGAGATTTAAGTAATTAACGTAAGATCATATAAAACTAAGCATGAGATGACGCGCCTGTGCTCGCTGTGCAACTGCCAGTCGGCCAACTCCCTCGCAGCCCTCGGACGACGAGGACACGCACAGAGCTCCAAGGCAGTTCATATACACACAACTACACACTTGCTGTCACTATATTCAAGCATTATTTTCTATTCGTATTTGTACGTGTCAAACGATCTTCGACATGACGCGGTCTGACGAAACTGTAGACACACACAAACATTCATATGTCCTGCTAGACTGCAATGCAAGCTCAAATCTGGTATTGCTCCCGCTGCACTCCCTGCTTTCGAATGCTTCATGACCCGTGGCCCAGACCACGTAATCCGGATCTGGCACCGCTGCCAGGCAGCCGAGGGCAAACTCCACACCTGTCTCTCATGGAGCATTAGCACCATCGTCGACATCGCACAACTCAGAAGCTCTGGACGACGTCATCGTAGTCATAATCTTCACTATCACTACTAGAACTAGTAGTAGTCGTCGTCGTAGTGGTAGAGTGGTAGAGTAGTAGTAGTAGTCGTCGTCGTCGTCGTCGTCGTCGTCGTCGTCGTCGTAGTGGTAGAGTGGTAGAGTAGTAGTAGTAGTAGTAGTAGTAGTAGTAGTAGTAGTAGTAGTAGTGGTAGTCGTAGTAGTAGTAGTAGTAGTAGTAGTAGTAGTAGTAGTGATGAGAGCAGGAGTCAGAGTAGGAGCAGCCGTAGCAGCAGCAGTAGCAGTAGCCGTAGCCGTAGCCGTGGCCGTCGCACTAGCAGTAGCAGTAGCAGTAGTAGTAGTTGTTGTAGTTGTAGTTGTTGTTGGTGGTAGTAGCAGTAGCAGTAACAGCGGCAGCAGTTGAAGCAGTAACAGTAGTATGATGACCATGGGGGCAAGACGATGACTTCATGAAAAGAGGTGGAGCGGGCGTGTGATGCTGATGAAACTGCTACCTGCTACGCAAATTGCTGCGAGATGCACTTCGAGCACTCAGCCACGCAGGACACAGATGGATCAAATGTCATAGAACTCCCTATCCAAGCCACGTAAACTCGCCCAGATGTGCAATCAAATTACTACCTCTCTAAGAGCATACGAGCAAAGTATGTGAGTGGATCATATGCTCCTCCACCTCCTCCTTAGGACTCATGGTCGAAGCAGCCCGGGATGGCACCTAGTGGTGCTTCCAGTCGGACGAAGATCCCGGAGCCTCCAAGGGCAGACGTGCTCATGGCGACGTACTTTGGTGCTTTAGTGTTTGGAGCTCGGGGAACGACCCAGTTTCATGTCGACTCTCGAGAACCTCTGAGTATGCAATAGTTGAGACCACTAGGCCTAGGCTGCCAAAGTGTCTGACTCGCTAGGAGCAGCAAGGAGGAGCCCCAGTGCACTTCTTCCAAGACACGGAGCTCAGCTTCACAAGTTGCAACTGACCCAGATGAGTTGTGACATACCACATTGCTCGGATCCTTCGATCCAAATCCATCGACAAAACCCCTCGGAGCCCCCTCTCTCCCCTCAGCACATCCGGCCCTGTGAGCGCAGGGTGTTCTGACTCCGGAAGCGGACTTCCAGAATGCTCGCCTGGGTTTGGGCTTCGGGTCCTCCCACGAGTTCCTAAAAGATAAAAGCAACACTTGCGATCGCGGAATAATAATGGCACTGATGCATAATCTCGATGGTAACCGACACATCGTGACATAGTCACGAACATGATGCAGATAGTTTTGTTGCTGTTTTGAGGACACGGAGCTTGCGTTCAAGGGCCCTTTGCATACGATTCATGCAGTCTTTCGCTAAATGGAGATGCCGAACAAACTTGAAACGCGAAAGCCATTTACGCTTTGTCAACCTCCAAGATCTCACCGCATAAGATAATAAGAACAGTTTGCCTTCAACCTGTACATAGCTCTCTAGATGCTGACAAACCTTCGATCAAGCTACGAGAAACCATAGACATATGTCCAGAAACCCCGAACGTGCACATACTTTAAACACACAAGTGCATCAACCCCTAGGAGGGCAGAGCTCGGTCCCCGGCCCGGCGAGGAATGTTTCCATGAGGCTCCGGCACCTCAAAATCATCGTCGTACTCATCGCAGGAATCACAAATAGTTGCATTGCATTCTTATTGGTGCCCTGCATCATATTAAGATTCAATATTCAAGCCCACCATCAATGTAGATCACTCTTCTTGGCCATGGGCGTTGGGGCTTCTGCCTTCTGAAATAAGGGTATAACGTTTTGAGATGCAAAGCATGTAAACCTGGGCTCATGTGTCTTGTTGGGCTTATCAAGTCGATTGCAGTTCTGTCTCGACGTTCAGTGTCCACACGGCCTTACCACCAAGACGCTGTACCTGTCCCGATGACCACACAATGGCCGATACTTTGAAGCAGCAGGCACGGTGAAGAACAAGTTATAACGTCAGACGATATTGGATCTCCATGATCTGGTGAGCAAGTTTCTTAACAACAAGCTGAGTACCAGCTCATATGAGACTTTAGAGCTCCCACGGTAAACTAGCATCTGCGGAGTGAAGGTTTAAGGGGAAGCAATCTTGGTCCCAAAGCCTGCAGCACTCTTCAATTGTTGATTGTTATCGTCATCAGCCCCGACCACTACCATGATACCCACCCCAACACCATAACTAGCACCCGCATTAGCACCAACATCATCACCCTCATTTCGGTCGTCACCGGCGACGCCGTCGCAACCTCCAACTTCCAAAGAACGCATGACTAACTGCCAGCATCTTGCTCCGACTTGCACGCAGGCCCTCCTGGGCAGCAGAGTTCCACGATTCTGTCTTCAGGATGCCTGACATGAGCTGCAAAAGACGACCTGGCAACAACAGAAGTGGACCCTTTTCGAAGTATCCGGTGCTTAGGCCGCAGCCACCTGCATGGAAAGCGATTCCTTGAGCAGGAAGCCTCTGAAGTGCGCATCGTTCGTAAACCTCCGGCTGGTTGAGGGGGACACGTCCGAGTTTGACATGCGTTGGCGTGCTGGGCTGTCTGCAAAGGACTTCTGATCTGCAAGTTGCCCGCTGTAGGGCTTAAGCAGTGGGCACTCGGAATTTACGGCACCGACAGCGTGGCGCGTCTTTCCAGCACTTCTGTTTTCCCTTCAAGACCCAAGGCCCACCATCTTGAAACATCAGTTTAGGTCCATGACTACGGTCTTCGTGAAGATAAATTCCAAGCTGTGGACACTGGAGCCACGGAGCAGCACTTGCTATAAATACAGTATGTATGATGCATGTTTTCTGGAGTTTCAAGCGTAGCTTCACATCAGAAAAAGTGGAACACTCCGGCAAACACAGCTCGTTCAAGATTCTGCGAATACGTCAATCACCCCAAACTTCTTCTCGAGCCCACGAAGCTTTTACGGCCCACATCGAAAGCTTTTAGTTCCAAGACTAGGACACTCAGAAAGCCACGAGCCTCAAGGAGAGCCCCTTAAAGCCTGCGAATCCTTGCATTCCCTGACTAGCCTTGAACAGTTGAACCCTGAGTGTGGCCGTGTGCCTTATTAGCTCCGCACTCAGGCGATCTGCATCTGGGCCACAGCCTGTGCCTCGGTTCGCGGTGATCTCATATACAATACTTAACTATTATTATTATTATTACTATTATTATTGTTATAATTTTACTATTTTATTATTATTATTATTACTATTATTGTTATTGTTAATGTTGTTATGTTAATATTATTTCTACTATTACTGTTTATGCTACCAGTAGTTCTGTCAGATCCATCGGGGGTGGTATGCGAGGTTTTGCCGGCCATTTCGAGTTTCCCGGCGGGGTCTGGAAGTCCGTGTTTCGAGGTCCTTTGGAGTTCTAAGATACTGCCGTGTGAGGGTCAGCGCAAGTCCTTTGACATGCAGATTACCTGTGACCTAAGCGCCAACTCCTTTGGGGGTTTAGGGGTTTAGGGTTTAGGGTTCTGGGGTATTAGGTTTTGGGTTTAAGGTCTGTGGTTCAGGGCTTGGGCTTAGAAGCCCCAAACATCCCCAAACCTTAAGCCTTCAACTCAGAGCTTCGACTCAGCTATACGGCCACAGACTGGCCTGCGTGGCTGTCCACCTGGAGTAGCCAGGCCTCAGCCGAGCAGGGGGAGTAGAGCCTGTGATATCCTGTGATTCAGTGGCGGCTTGATTTGTTGCAAGGATGCTTGGGTGCTGCCTAGCTTCAGCCCCACGCCAAGCTACGCAAATCACTCAACCTAAATCTTTCCAGACGAGGCCTCCTTGTCCCAAGGTTGCCCGACCGGATGCCCTAATCCGACCAGATCAATTAAGGGGTTCGGGGAGCAGGATTGAAAGGTCGGTGAAGTTCTCCGACGAACTTCTACTTGCCGCCCGAACTAAGTAGGATTCGCCACAACTGGCCCATGTTGAAATCCTGCAACTGCAATGACATAGCCATTGCAACGAATGCCTCGGTGTTCCATCCTAGGAGTATGCTCTTCATCAAGCCCGTAAGACTACTGATCGGTCTTGCCCCATTCTGGCAAGGACGAACAGCCCGGTTGATGTGATTTCTGTGAGCATGCCGGCTGCCAACTGGAACAAACGACTAATTTCTCTGGGGTTTCGCTGCCATCCGGCCCCAGCTGACATTCCAGCAAATCAGGCTCGGATCGCCGTAGTTTTCGGCGACCAGCGTGCGTGAAGCCGAAACGTTGAACCCAAGTGTAACTCACTCAAAACTAAATAAAGCACTGAGCCCTACCCCTCTCAGAGCCCAAAACAAGAACAGGACATGCCCCAAGCCTACAGAAGTAGTCCTATAAAGCCCACAAGGCTATGAACCCCCTTAACCCCCTCCTCCCACTTCCAGGCTTCCGCACCTGGTTGGACTCAGCCCTCCATCGCGCCAGGTCCACGGGGCTCGCCTTGCTCTTGTCAGGGATGTTTACCTAATTATAGTCTCCATTGTGGTTCCTTTTTGGCGGATACGTTATAAAATCCGGTAATATATATTTGGTTATAAACCAAAGAAAGGAACTACAATGGAGACTATAGGTAGGGTTCAAGGGCAGCCGGGACAGCAGAGCATTGCTGAAGCCGAGGATGACGATGAGGCGTTATGACGGTAGCAGTCGTCGACTGATGACTTCGATGGCCGCTGCGACGGCGAAGATGAATCAGCTGACGCTACCTGATCGCAGCAATTTCGGACGAAGGTGGCCAGAAAGACTTTCGATCAGTATCAATTCTGAGTGCTGTTGCTGCCCATGATCACGGCAATCATGGTGGCGACAGCGAGTGCAGTGCTTGGCGGTGATGGTGGTGGTGCTGCTGCTAGTGTGGTGATGGTTTACGCTGCTGCTGCTGCTGCTGCTGCTGCTGCTGCAGCTGTTGATGGTAGCGGGCGATTCTGGGCGAGGGTGTTGAGTCACAGGATGGAGGAGTGCTTATGATGACATCTCATGGTCGTGATCGTCACGAAAAATGGTAGTCATGTCGGTGATGATGCATCCTAGGATAGTTTGCAGCTTCGATTTCGCTGTAGCGATAATGAGTCCAGCATCAACCTGGCATCTTCGAACAGGCCCTTTCGGAGGACTTCGATCTGCGTATCAACTTAGCAGGTCTGTGTTTAAGACCCAAATTCCGTCGCTACAAGACTAAGCGACGGAGCTGCAAGTAGCATGGGCAGAGCACATCCGTGCTAAGGAGAAGGCTTGGGCAGCAGCGAGAAGTACTGAAAGGTCAGCCAAGTCAGCCCTGAAGGTTGAGCCCGTCCATCCGTTTTACACGATTGCTGCGCCGTTGTCCCCTCTTCGGCCGTTTTGGTGCTTTGACGGGCCGGGGCAACATGCATTCTGCGCGAGGGCCCTTGAATTTCGTTCCCACTTTGTGCCAAGCCATATAGCGCTTGATCATCGGATAGACATGTTGCATCATGTTGATGGAGCCCTGAATCTCACAGCTGTTTCAGGTTCTACAAATAAAATGCGACTACGAACAATAATGCCAGTAGTACTGCAAGCAGTATGCTTGTCGTTGATGAAAATAACAAGCTGCAATACAAGCACAATTGCAACAATAAATACCGTAATTTTGACAACAAGAGCCTGAACAAAGTTAATAATACACGAAACAGCACCAATAACAATAACAATGACAATAACAATAACAATAACAAGAGCACCAGCAAGAACCAAACCCAAACCACCACAACTATGATAGCAACAGTACAGCAACGACAACCACGGCCACAACCACCACCATTGCAGAAACAACCACAATAACCATCACAACGAAAGCCAGCACAACCACAACCACAATCGCCCAACGTGTCATGTATCTGCACTGCGCAAAGCCCGAATCGGCTGCAAAATCACGTCTGAGCACCCGGGCCAACACATAGTGATTTCCCTAAGTTTGAACCCAGATTATCAATACCATCAATGCCATCATCATCTTCTTCTGAATCATCTTCATCGTCATCACTAGCCATCATGGCAGGAAAGCTTTCGCGACCAGATCGGCTTCACAATTAATCGTATGGCCGATCCGCATGACAAGTTGCCATATTAAAGACTCATCGAAACATAGCTTAATAGATCCCACCTCGTTCCCGGAACCTCGGGTTGTAACGACGAAGACGGCAGGGAAACCAACAAGCAAGGCAGAACGACATTCCAGGCTCGTTTGTTTAGCCTTTGAAAAGCACATACATGCAAAGAGGATTGGGCAAGTACAGATCTGGATCGTCCCCCACCCTTTCGGCTCGAAACCGCATTTCAGAAAAGTCTTGTATCACATCGGATTCCAGGTGGACATCGTGTATCCAGATCCGTGGTTGCACAAATCGATTTCTGCATGGTCGAGTCTGTTGCAGCAAGCCGCAACACAGTCAGGTCAGCAGGGGCTATGACCCAGGATTTACCTATGCAGTTCTTCGAGGCAGACTGAGGGGAGTTTTACAGAAGAGTCGAGGTTCAACAAATCCCAGGTCGACTCACCACTTCGTCTTCACCCAGACCCGTGAGCCTGGCAACGCAGCTCGTGCGCAGACGCGCGTGGGCTTGGCGCATCAGGCCCTTTCTGATTACCCATGAATCTGATGCAAATCGTGCCTGGAAATCACACAGGGCCAGTGAAGGGTGAAGATGGAGCAAAGGCTGGCATTGACGGGCTTCCTTGCACCTCGGTGTGTGTAGCAGTGTAGCTCTTCACCGACGACGGTAGAATCATGCATCCAAACTTCCCGCCCACTGAAAACCTCGGCAAGTCTGCAACAAGTACAGAAGCATGTATGAGCGCATATGATCTTGTGAAGCTATGCAATCTATGACCACTTTCAACTTCAAGACGGAAGGGGTAATCACACTGTCTCGGAGGATGAAGCTCCCTGAGCGTCCGGCTTGGAATGTCTGAGATCCCCAATCCAGAAGTCCAAAGGCCCCAGAGCTTTGGCTTTGTGTGACATCCGCACCATTTCGGTAGGCACAGTTGCAGGACGTGATGTCCTCAGCTGCAGATAGCTTCAGAGGGCAGGAACCCCAAAAGGCGCCCATCGGCGGTTGGAGTTGTTGGAGCGCTTACGGATACCTTATACTCCGAGGTCAAACAGACATTCGCAGATGCATGTGGGTGGGGCGCAGGGCAAGCAGAACTGTTGTTTGTAAACCCAAGCCGAGCCGCAAAGGGACGGCCTTGCTTCAACCGATCTGATCCCTTCAACACTACTACCACTACTAATCACGTTAACAACAACAATTGCTGATGATGGTCAGGGCGAAAGTAACACTATAGTTCCCTAGTTGCAGTCATAGTCAGAGTACTGTCAAAGTCATCGTCACAGTCCTAGAATAGTATGAATAGTGAAGGTAGTCGGCCCCGGCCTGCAGTGTCCGCCGCCACGGGGAACAATTCCTTTCGAGCGTGGCTTCTGTGCTTCAGAGCAGCGGACTACTGTTCGCCATTGTTGGCTTGAAGTCTCGTGCCAGCTCGATTTGATCGTTCCGCTTGAACTTGAACCCCAAACCCGCCAGGCACGTCCTGAAGACCATGCTGGACGAGGCTGGCAGCCCTTTCCCTTTGGGGTTGCGCTGCCGGTCTACGACTTTGCTGTAGAGCACGGCCTCCGCAACCTCGGTTCCGGTATGCTCTGCGGCTCGGGGTTCAGAGGCGGGAGGTTCAGCATAGTGTGTAATCCACGATGAGGTTAGCGCCTTGGGCGGAAGGATTTGGGGATCTTCGCTCAGCCATCAGTTTCAGCTTGGAGTCCAGGGCTTTGAACTTGACGCGTTCACAGCCACCCGCTACAAGACACATTGACATGCATCTGTACGGGCTCAATGCAGCTGCGCGGCAACATCAAAAATGGTCATGAAGGGAGTTGCCTCAAGCAGTTGTTGGTTCAGGCTGTACACTTTGACATGCTCTTCCTGAGCCACTTCTACATGGTTCCGGCCACACGACCGGAAACCCAACGACTCACAAACGAAAGCAACACCTGGAATAAATGAATCGGAGGCGATTTCGGGCTTGAAGCAAATTGCTGCCGTCCTGAGGTCCGTACCACAACAAGCGAAATGACAGCACCGCCAATGCAAAGTGTGGACCGGTCTTCCACAAATAGCCGGCTGTCCGGGTCGGCGAACTGATGCTGCGACCTGACCCACGCGCTTGCACAACTTCTGTACTTCGCCAGTCATGTCCGTTCGGGTGTGGCGGCCAGGTGCAGTTCCTTCCGATTGTTCGTGTCGAACAGCAGGATCCCCGTTGTTAGGATCCGAAGAATCCGGGACCCTAGGCCGAGCAATCACTAAATAAGGTGATTCACTCCAACCCAAACCCTGTGAGGCCCGAGTATCTGCAGCCGACGGGCAGAGTTTGTGCTACGGCAAACCAAGTCGTTGCGGCCGCCTCTGCCAGAACTCCCATTTCAGCTGTGGAGTTGAACGCTTTTAGTGTCTTGGGCATGAGGATTTTCGGGGAATGGAGAATGGTACTAAACATATATTATAGGGGAAAAATATAAAAAAATGATATGTTTATTCTGTTCTTGGCACTCTGGGGTTGTAAGCTTCACGGTTCAGGAGCAAAATCCGGTCGGGTCTAATCCGGTTATCTGTCTCCGTGAAGCGCGGTCAACTTCGAGGGAAGAGATTAGGAATCCCAAGCAGTGCTAGTTGGGAGCTGGCCACTGTATGACTACTCGCCTTTGCAACCTGTCAATTTGACCCTAACAACCAAGCCACTCCAACCGCCGCCATCCCCTAGCCGAAAGTCTGGAATCATCAGCGTCGTTTGGGCGAAACAACGTGCTAACGGCACAGTACCTTGCCGAAGTTGACTTTTCTTGGCAGCAGCATGCTTTAATCACTCAGTACTTCCATTCTCATCTCCTCCACCTCCTCCTGCTCCTGCCCCTTTCTCCTAATCGCCACTGTCATCATCCAGTATCAGCGCGCCGCCAGCATCTGAATCGTCATCATGCAGAACAATAACATCGTATCACTATCATCATGCCCATCAGAACCACAGTCCCTTGCGATTCGTGAGGCTATCCATGACCGAGATGCCATTCCCACACCCGCCAGCTGGAACATAGTAGTGGATGTGTTGAGCAGGCCGACCTGCTCGACAAGCTTGGGGTTTGTGGTTGTGACCCGATGGTCCCTTCACACTCCCGTCAGAACTGCTTCCCGGGAGAGTAGGGGCCAAAGTGGCTGGTGGGGGGTTATTCTTAGACATGTAGAGTTGGTCCTGCCTCTTGGGCGAGAGAGGTGCCAGTCTCGTTGTCCGCAATATGGTTGGCGCCTTCGAAGTACGTGAAAGCCTCACGGACAAGAGCGGACAAAGGATGATGGTCTCTTCACGTTCCATCCACACGAATGACAACCATTACTTGGATTGCTATTGACTGCTACTCATGCTTCTGCTGCCGCTGCTGCTGCTCCTGCTCGCGGCTTACTATTCCTGCTCGGCTGCTGCTGCCGCTGCTGCTGCTGCTGCTGCTGCTGCTGCTACTGCTGCTTCTGCTTCCACTACCACTGCTACTATCCCTACTACTACAGCGGGTGGTGGTGGTGGTGGTGCTGCTGCTGCTGCACCCATATAACTACTAGCGCTGCTGCTACTACTACTGGTGCTGCTGCTGCTGCTACTACTACTACTACTACTACTACTATGCTGCTGATACTTGTGCTAATTACCACTGTCACTGCTTCCAACGCTGCGACTGACACGTTGCTGCTGCTTGATTAAATCCGCTGCTGCTGCTGCTGCTGCTGCTGCTGCTTGTTTGTGTTTCGGGGAGAACTCAGGAAAACCAGGGCCTGCACAGGCATTCCGTCAAGTCTTCTCAGGGCAGAGAGCCCCACACCCATGAACGCTTCGCATCCCATGCTCACACCGCGGCAAAGCACAAGGCCTGCAGGCTCACATCCAGGAGGGCACCGCGGTTTAGGTGCGCGAGGGACTCTTCGTAAAAGTCCAGGCAGCAGGACAAGCAGGTCTGGCACAGTCGAGGGTGCCGAGTAACACGTCAAGGTCACAGACATCACGGAAGTTGGGATAAATTTGCAAAACCTTTGGTATGCCTGGTTCAGACCAAACCGCACTTTCGCCTGATAGGGTGCAGGGCCTGCTGGTTGCGGGGGGCGTCAACCCATGCGCGTTTGCTGCTCAAGACCAGAACCGAAACGCTGAGCAAACACCCAAACCCGAAGCAGCCTGGAGGATGGATGCCAATGGGTTGCCAGACTTGACACCATCCTGATGCGTTCTTGGACTAGGCCAGGGTGTTGGGCTCGGCCAGATTTTCTCAGCCAGCCGTAGGTTTAGGGCCTGTCATCAACATGCACAGAATCCCAAGATGCACGTCCGACGCTTACACTAGCTGGTCATGCGTGGCATCGACATCGCTGCTACAATTTTTGTAGGCATGAACGACACGCCGCCACGACGAACTATGAAACTATTTCAGAAGGGACCGCAAGGCAGGCACGACTAGTGCAACTACAAGTGCGGTAGACTGAAAGCGTAAAGTTTTGCAAGACAAACAGCTCAAAATCAACACGCCATGGTGACTCAAATGTCGAGAAGTTGGATGAGATGCCGATGTCTTCGCACTTCAGGCTTCAGGAGTTTGGGGGGGAATTTGCCCTGCCTATGCTTTCGCAAACTGTAAGTGCCCTATTCCCTTCAAAGGAGCTGTTTTGGATCGTGGGGGGCTGGAGTGGGGTCGGCATGAGAAGACATAATCTGTCTATGTATATACACATGCATGCACATATCTATGTATTTATATGTTATATGTACTTATATGTATGTGTATATGTATGTATATGTATGTATATGTAAGTATATGT